CATGATTAGTTTGCCCTAGGCGCTCTACTTTTTAGTCCTTGCCAGTACAGCTACTGGAAAAGAAGGTCTATATGTCTGGGGATAGAGCTGAAATCCTCATGGGACATCTCCACAAAGCTCTCCTGGAGGTAATTGGAAAGCCTTTGCATGAGGTTCCTGGGGAGAGCGGCCTTATTGTGTCCTCCGTGGTAGGAAACTTTTCCTCGCCAGGCTATCATCAAGTACTCTGGGATCATTGCCTTGCAGAGCATGGCGGCATATGGCCCTGGTTTTTGCTGGCTTTCACGCAGCATGCGTTCTTTCTCGGTCTCAGAAATTATCAGCAGAGTGATGTCGCTCATGGTGACCTGCTTAGAATTAGGGGAATGTTACTATTGGGACTGCTTGCCTGTTCCTTTACGGAACTGTCACTGGCAGTTTACAGCCATGCGGTGGAGGTGGGAGAGGGGCAGCATACAGGGATCTTTCCCGGGGACAGCCGCGAGGGGGTGGGATGGGGCAGAGTTCATGCTTGCTGGATTGCCAGCAGCAGGAACTGGCCAACGATAGGAGCATTGCTTGGAACGTGAAAGGAGGGCACTGCTATAATTTAAGTTTTAAGCAGCCAAAACTCTACGGCTTACCATGTCAGCCTGCTACCCGAATTCCACTGTCCAGCCCCGCTTGTCTGATCTCCACTGCAAGACCCCAGGCACTGAATGCGAAGGCCGAAAATTCGACCTTGTCCTGAGTGTGCGTGTGATAGGTGCTATGCATGGTCTTGTTCACAGAGAAAGACTATGTTCATTGTTCACAAAAAATTATCTTTGTGAGGAATTCACTCCCTTTTTCCCATCCCACAGCTGTGACTGTCTCCCGACCTACCCTGGCATCCCCCTCGCAGAGGCTGGCGCAGATTAGGCGGAGAAAGAAAAGGACATGGGACGACATGTTCTCAGAACTTATGGGCTGCTCCCGAGCCGATGCGGCCCAGCAGACCCAGTGGAGGGAGAACATGTCACAATACCAGCGAGCACACAGCGAACGGGAGGAGAGGTGGCGTCAGGAAGACCAGCAGGCGACTCAAACGCTGCTTGGACTAACGAGGGAGCAAACGGAAATGTTCCGGCGCCTTGTGGATGTTCTGCAGGACCGGAGGCAGGAGGACAGAGCCCCACTGCAGTCTATCTCTAACCGCCCTCCCCCGCCACAAACTCCCATACCCCCCTCACCCAAAGTCCCAAGAAGGATGGGCGGCAGGGGCCGTGAAAACTGTCA